TTTCTGAATATAACTTTGCGATACACTTAATTTCAACAGTCGTGCTATAACAAACGTCTCACGTGCTCGACTTCAACAATACTCAGTTCAATTACACACTCTCTGACTGCAGTTCAATTACTCATTCACTGTTTTCGTCACGTTGTGACCGTCTTATATATATACCAAACTACCCCCCAATCTAGTAGTCTCCCGATAATTCATGAAGGTTCGAGAAGGATGTGACGTGATACTAGTCACGTGACCTCGCTGACGCAACATTACTCTTAATTTTGGTTTTATTTACTCTTGAAGCAAAACACTTTCGGGAACCCTGCGGAAGTACATCTAGTGTGTATACTGATTATTAACTAAAACATTCTTATTATTTGTATGACTTACGATTTTGTAGTATACATCAAAAAATTTAATTTGTATTTTATATGACGTACAATATAGTACTTGCTACTGTGTGAATAATAGAAGCGTTTTTATTTCATGTCAGACAATTTTTACACCTTAACGATTGCTCCCTCCCCCCAATATTTTGTTCGTTCGGACATTCCTGATTAATACTTTATTGTTACATTACTATCTTTTGACGAAAATGCTATTGCTATTGTGTAATGTTGGATACTGTGGCTCATCAAATAAGATTATGAAAGAATGGATTTAAAAAGGTTTTCCGAAAAGGTCGTGGTCCAACTTGAAAAAAACCGGAATGTGTGTTTTATTTATTTATTTGATAAATATTACGTTTTAACTTTATATTAGTAAACAACGCGTAACACATAACTTAACAAGCTTATTTTTTGCGCTGCGGAATTTTGAAGGAGAGAAATGAAAAGTGTTAAACGTCATGGAGAAGATTGAATTTCGTGTCGTGACCAAATATTTTGTTAAAAGAAAATGACACTGCAAGAAATTCACCAGAACAAGGAATCAACATGCAGCATATTCGACAGTGAAGTAGTGTGATATATTTAAGCAGTGTAGACAATCACTTGAAAATGATTTGACGTCAAGTTCGACATCGACCAGAACAGAAATTGTGGATAAAATTTATGATTTGATTATATATGAGAGAAAGCAAGAGAAAACCGCCCTCTATATAAAATCTAATACCTACGTTTATATTTATTTGTTTGATTATGTCCCAACTGACATTCTAACAAAAAAGTAAATCATCTATTTAAAAGGTTTAAAGCAGCTCTCGAAGACAACCTAATTTTATCTTACAGGCTCTTATTGCCAGTTATTTCACACAAATAATTCGCTGATAAAATCTAAGCATTATGATGACACCCAGGAGAAGACGTTGGTAAAACACTATACAAATTATTATATTTTTTGCAACCTTATGCACTTCAGTGTAGAACATTAACAAAACGTGTCTATAAAACTTACCTATATATTGTTGAAACGTTATTCTTCACTTGGTGGGTTCTTTTAAATTATCCAATAAATATATTTCAACGTCTAGTCCACCTAACAATAAAAAGAAGAATATAGTATATTTCCTACTTTGATGTTTCTTGAAGCTTCAAAACTGAGATAACTTGTAGGCCCGTTTATAGTCACGATCAAATTACATTAACGTCAAAATATAACTTACTTGTACAATTTCACGGTTTATCAATTAAACAATTGAATATACGCGACAATTAACACTGAATCAAATACTTCACTGAACTAAACTGACTGACTCACTCTCAGATTGATTCACTCTGCTGACTAGAAAAACTCCATCTTTTTGATGCTTCACTGAACTTAGTATTAATAATCTACTCTCTGAATTTACTAGAAAATCTGACGTCAAATTTTCTAGAACTTTCTGCATCTACATTATTAAACTTTTCAATCTTACCGTCATGCACTCTCTTACTAACGTGTAAATTACAATTGCTGTACAGCTGTTCTTTTGTTGTGCGAGCTTTTTCAAATTATCTGGTGAAACCAATTCAAGTCCAATCCATGTAGCAATAATATATTAATTCATTTTTTCCTTAAAGTTTCTGCAAGCTGTTTTCAGGCCTTAGTTGTCCACGGTTACTCAGTCACTATTCACCACTATCTCAAAGCAAAACACTGACTGTAGTATTTATAATCTAACCTCGTCTCTCGATACTCCCTGAATTTACTAGATTTTCAATTTTAAAGCTTTCTAGGCCTATTCGCACAAGATCACCTGATCTTAACATCATGCTCCCTCTAGCAGTCTAGAAAACATTGAAAATATAGCTTACAATAAAACATAAAAATATATAGATTATAACACTTTCTTGATTGTGAAGTCCTTTGATCAATAGTAATACAAAAAGTATAAAACATAAATAACAAAACACACGTCTTTTTTATGGTTTTCTCTTCTGGGGCCCACGATAAACAAATGGAGTGGCATCTTGTCCTTCGTTGTCAGTGGCTATCCTGTCGTTAGAGAAGTTCTTCCTTGGTAGGTGGTTGTGTGAATTCTTCACACCCTGGAAGTAGTCTCGACAAAAACTTTAGTCTTCTCAGCAGGTTGAATTTCTGCTGGCAAGTTCTTCTTTGGAGTTACCCAGTTGGTTGTTATTTCACTGAGATAATTCCAAAGATGATCCTGATGTATAACCTTTGGCTTAGATCCCCTATCTTTCTTGATTCTGAAGTCCAGGTAGTTGATTCTTTTCAGTACGATGTTTGGCCCTTCTGAAAATTTACTTAGCTTTGCAGTTTGCCCTCTCTTGCAATGAGGACTGTTTAGCCATACCATGTCACCTTGATGAAATCCAGTTTTATTATCATTAAAATCATAGCAACCTTTCTTTGATCAGTTAAAAGCTAATTTATGGCTTCCCTGGGTAAAGTCATGTTCGACACCTTTATTCTTCACATGCACAAGAACTCTTTCAACCACCACTTTCCCAGGACATGTCAGAGCATTCGGTTATATTACAGTCCAGTTACTAGGAGTACATTTATTTTTAATAATGTTAATGTTTATAACAGACGGTCAAATTTTGTGTATATGGAGTTAATGCAATTTGGTACACGATGGCTATCTGCGCTAGCCGTCTCTAATTTAGCAGTGAAAGAGTAGAGGGAAGGCAGATAGTGATCGATTAGTGGGATTGACCTTCACATCGTAACACCTCCACGGCTGAAAGGGCTAGCATGTTCAGTGGGAGAAGGATTTGAACCCACAACCCTCAGATTGTGAGTCGACATCTCTAATCACCTGGCCATGTTAGGCCCGATCCTTTTAGTAGGGAGATCTGAGAATAATTATCAGAAACAATCACTGTTTCAACTTTGAATAAATTCAGTGATCATAGTTAAAATAGCAAATAAAGAGCTCCCGCTCGTCGGTGCCCCCCAAAATTAACATTTTTTTCAGTCGCTTATGACTGTTCTGCAAAAATGTAGAATAGAGGCTGCAATACATGCTTTTAAATAACAAAAATCATATGATCACAGCGTGTGATTAATATTTCGTATCTAGAATTAACAAAACAAGCATAAAATGATTTTTTTCTTGAATGAAATATTCAACGTTTCATCATCATGATTGATAATCAATTAGAATAGTTTGGGCTAGGCTTTTGTGGTTAATGCGTGGGACTGTAAATCTGAAAGTCTCTGACCCGTGTTCCATTGCCATAAGTCCCTCGGTGGGACAGCGATAA